TCCATATGCTTTTAAAAAAAATTCAAATTCTCTTAAATCATTACACTATTTACAGTCACTGTGTGATTCGCTTCAGCAGATGTACCATTCTTTGGATCAGCCAATACGACACCTGCAAAAACAACATCACATAACATGTCAGCACTGCCAAAACAAGCAAGGATACCCTGCTCTGCTGCACAGGGATCCATGTCGCCCGCGCTGTTCCTAAGGATACTCCACACAAATCAAAAGTTACATACGGGATAAATCTATGTAGTTTTTATTATGCGTTTTCTGTTGTGTAACAACGGTACAAAACGCACATCGTCACGAGGTTGTGTGTGTGTGTGTGTGTGTGTGTGTCCCCGCAGCAACTTGTCCGCAACTTTCAACTCGAGGACCACGAAAGCTACGAAGCTGAAATTTAGGGGAATGTTTCCTATTAAAGTGTGATCCCGCAAATTTAAATTCAGCCTCTCCGTACCGGTGGGTAGCACGTACGGCCCCGCAAAAGTTTTGGCGGGAAAAATTATTATGTTGGGAACCACGTAAGCTAGGGAGCCAAAATTTTACCAGTATGTCCGCTGCCCACGTGCGACCCAGGAAATTTAAATTCAGCCTTTCCGTGCCAGCCGGTAACATATACGGCCCAGTGAAATCTTTGGCGGGTAAATTATTATCTCTGGAACTGCGGAATCTAGGAAGATGAAATTCTGGGGGGCTGTTCCTTGCCCACGTGTAGCCCCTCGAAAATTTAAATTCAGAACAGTGAAAATCATTATCGTCCACCAGTCATTCGGTGGACGGAACTGTACAAAACGCATGATCGCACTGGCTGCCCTGGTGCGCGCCGTTATTTATTTTTTTTTTTTTCGAATTTCTGTTCTCAATAGAGACAGTTAAGTTCGTGCATACACACCTTCCAGAAAGAAGGAATGCACAATCCAGGATTGGCGTTCTTCGCGCGGATTTCTGGTCTGCAAACGACCCAAACAGAAGCACAGCAACTGGAACTTCTAGAACACTGCCCACAGAGAGTATCATCTCTGAGATGGCTATGGCTGGCAGCGTGGCCTGCCTTCCCCCCCCCCTTCCCCTCCCCCAAATGAGAATCTACGATTCGCAGTTTCAAGCAGTATCCAGAAAACTTACTGGTCTGAGTGATATTCATGCAAGCAGCCAATTGCAGCAAGCAGCAGCAGCAGCAGCAAAGCAGCCGTATGTGCATGAGCAGCGCCCTCCGACACCACAGCTTCATGAGCACTTACAGCGCAGCAGCAGCAGCAGCAACATTCCAGGACAACTCCACGCACCAACCTGCAAAACAGTTCCCCTCTTGGCAACAGCAGCACAACTGCAGTGAGCGGGTGCTGCCTGCAGCTACCCTGCTCTTCCCGAGATGCTGCAACACATCCATTAACCGTGCAGGCAACAGAGGCCTGGTGATTTTCACATAAACCTCGAAGACAAGTGCTACAGACGTACCCTCTAAGTACCATTTCGGCTGTCACAGTTTCTGCTGTGCGAGAAACAGACTTGTGCTCGAGTTGCAATAAGACAATTATTAAACCTCGGCTCGGCTTTGGTATACTCCCGGCAGGGTTTGGCATATTATGAGATTTTGGCGCAAAACGCAGAGAGTATAAGATGACGTTCGCTCAGGCACTGTGTGATGTAGTTCCGCGGCGAGGGGCAACGGTAGGTGGGAAGGGCGGCAGAAGTCCGCTAACATGTAGAATGCACTAGTCTGTGGGTTTGGTGGGATTAATGAGGTAAGCAGTGCATGTCGTGAGCACTGGGAAACGTAGGTTTGAGGGCGATGGGTGAAAAAAAAAAACGGTGTGCTGCTGGTTTCGGCCGCATAGATCCAAGGTGAGAAGGAAGGGGTTGAAA